CCAGCCTTGCAGCTCCACTGCTGAGCCCCATGAGGGGCCCGGCGGTGGACCTGCAAGGCCGGCGGGAGTGCAAGGAAGCCCCGCGAAGGCCCTCCCTGGCCCCAGGCAGGCAGGGGTGGGGAGAGGCAGGGAGGAAGCAACTTACCCTCCCTCTTCTCCTGCCTGCTCCTGGCTGAATGAGGTCCGGAAGCGGGGCGGCCGGAAGCAGGGGGCGGGGCTTCGTCATGTGCCCCGCCCCCGTACCTCACCCGGGGGAACTGCGATCCCCCACGATTCCCCCAAAATGACCTCTGGCTCTTACGCTGAGAAAGTTTGGCCGCCCCTGGTCTAGGGCACTGCTAGTCCAGCCCTCGTTGAGGTAACCCAAATGCTGCAACCCCTAGGCAGTGTCCAAGTTCATAAAAGGCTTGCACAGTATAGGCAGTTTATCCCTCGTGCGGAGGGTGCAGTGCAGGATCCCGAACACACGCCCTTGACCTCAACGATCCCACACTGTCCCTCTCCAAAGACCTCTTCAAGGGGTTCCTTCCAAGATAATATCCTCACAGAATCAACATGAACACTGCAAGGCCACCGCATGGCATGGTTTTTTTAATGTCTGTTTTGCAGGCCTTGTCCAGGACAGCTGACACCTCCTCGCCAGCATTGCACTGTTTTGTTCACACAGCACAGAATTGCCTTCCAAGACTTTTATTCTGGGGAGCTGAAATGGTATCAGGAGGCGGGATGGTTCGGTAACTAGGAGGAGGAAACCAGACACAGACACTTCCCTTTCAACAGTGGGGCGGCATCATGTTACACAGCAGGAAGAGGACATTTCTCAACTCTTCCCTGCTTCCCCGGGTGAGAAACTCTCCCGTATACGCATACATGGACCCCCTCCCTGATACACTACATTTTAGACATTAGCTCAGATTTCCTAGTGTGAAACAGATCTGCAGGGGCAGAATACGAGGAGGACATTCAAAAAAAGGCACTCACACACCTGCTGTCTGAAAGTAGCCCTGTGTGAACATCTCATTCCAGGTCCTACCCGCCAGGGGTCATTTCCTGCGGGAGCGCACAGGAGCGGAGCTCCGGCAGTAAGGAGCCCAGGGGGCGGGCGCATGCAACAAGCCCCGCCTCCTGCTCCCAGCAGCCCTCAGTTGGGCCATGAGGAGCAAGAAGCAGCAAGATAAGTTGCAGAGCCCCCCCCCCCCCGGCCCGCCTTCAGGTACAAGCTCTCCCTCCTCTGCAAGGGCAGATCTGCGCGTCCCCGTCCCCCCAGCTAGCAATCCAAAACAGTCCAGTGGAGCCTGAGTGGTGGGCGTTGCCTTCTGACCCACTTTCGGTGATGTCAGGGGTGTGTGGCATATGCAAATCAGTTATGCTAATAAGTTATGCTAATGAGCTCCTGCACCTCTTTTTCTACGAAATGGCCCCTGCTACCCGCCCCCAAACAGGAAGCAAAGCAATGTGTCTGCGGGCAGAGAGTGATTGAGCTCGAGTCCATTGGGGACGACCCCAGCTCCCCTCCCCGGGACCCCCCCATTGATCCCACCCCACAACTCACCTCTAGGCTCATTCTCAGACTTCATACTGCGCCCAGGGCCACTCGGACTAGCAACCTCTGAGGGGCCGGCAGAACTTGACCCTCCCAAGATGGATGACAGAGGGTTGAATGAGAGGCAGAGGAAGACAAAGGCGCACAGAGCCATGCGGGACCGGTCCAGCATCCCCAGACTGCCAGCGGAGAGCGTCTGAGCCTCTACCTTCACCTGCAAATCATCAGACAACAACAGACAGGGTTGAGATTGAGAGACAATTCCATGCACTCAGGACTAGAGAAAACAGGTGCAGAGAATTACGAAACAGGATGGCACCCTCACAGGTAAATCATACCATCCTCACTGGTAGTTAAATGATTAGTAAGAATAAAATTTAAATTTAGATAAACAATTAAGACAATATTAAGGATTTGACTGTGATTCACTTTTAGCACAGAAGTTTCTTCAACTGTTAAAGATGTAATTTCCTTTATCGTTTATAGATTATCGCTAACCTTAGGAAAGTTCTTGTAAATAAGAAGAAGGATAGATGAAGTAGTTGTGAAATTGTAATGAGAAGATATGCATGCAGAATGCGAAACTGGAATTTTTAATATTTCTGTATTTTTCTTTTCTACACCCCTTTCCCCTCTCCCCTTTTCTGTATATAAAATAATTAAAATTTGCAAAAAAAGGAAAAAGGAAAATTCTTGTTTACTCTTTAAAGAGAGAATCTATCTCAAAATGTTTTAATGTCTGTTTCTATATTTGAAATATGTAATATATTTGGTAACATGTCTGGTTTTTGTACGTAACAACTCATATTATTTGACAAACCTGATGAATTAATATTTCGCCCTTCCTCCTTTCCCTTCCGTATCCCACCTTTTTTTTGAGAAAGGAATAATATTTAAAAATAATAATACCCCCCTTCATGCGCTAAATTGCTTAGCAGCCATCTTGTTCTTCTTCTTGCCTACCCGCAGACCTTGTTATCTTCCCCTGGGGTATACCCCAGTCTTGAGATTTACCCCTCCACTTCCTCCCTACCCAAATTCCCACCTTGGCCTCTTCACAGAACGGGCTGTCGGGCTCCGAGTCACTTCCGCTCGTCCCGCTAAGTGAAAGGGGGCTGCTGTATGAGGGGGAGCCAGCGTCCGACGGGGGCGGTGTCATGGTATCCATCAGTTTCACCCCTTCTGCAGGGTCTTCCACATTCCTGCCACATGTGGCTACCAGGTCCTTCAGGGACTCTGTGAAAGCGGGAGAGAACAGCAAGTTGGTGAAATAACAGTCTTCCTCTCCACAGCTAGAATCCGCATCGCCACGAAGCCAAACGCAATGGAAGCAGAGGCAAGGCCGATTTTACTTTTGACTCCGGACTGCCTTGTTCCCAGCAGGGCTATACCACTTCTGTTGGTCACCCGGCAAACGGAGTGTCAGGATTCTTAACAGACTGCACAGCTAGGAACCAGAACACCATAAAGAATGGTCCCCGGGTCTCCCGGAAAGGCGCTCAGCTGGATGCTGTTGCCAGGCAACCCGGTGCTAGGCCGAAAACCTCCCATGATGCTCTCTGGTTCCGAAGCTGCGTCTCTGAAGGGAAAATGGGCCCAGGGAGTGGGAAACTCACTGTTATTCTGGGCAGCCATTTTGAGGGCCATGTTCTCTGTTTTCAGCTTCTGGTTGGCCTGCTTCAAGAAACGGATGTGGTCGATCGCCTTCCGCAAAATGGCCGACTTGTTCAGCTGCCAAAGGATAGCATGGTGAAAGGCACCTGGTGAAAGACTCAGGCAATCCCCCTTGTACCCCTCATCAGCACAGCAAGGCATTTTGCCGCACACCCTGGCAGAAACAAACGAGAGCGGCGCAACACTATTGGCCTACCTTGGCATCCGTGCCCATCACCAGATCCTTCAGCTCTGCGATCTTGTCGTTGATGGACGAGCGGTAACGTTTTTCGATGGCGTTATGCGCTGTGCGTTTCTCACCTTTGCCCTGGTTCGCCAGGGGCTTCCCGGCGGTCAGGCGGTTAATGGGCAGCTTATCCGTGTCCACCATCAATGGCACGGTTGCCAGGATGGCGCCGCCACTCACTAGCGTCTGAAAGACAGAAAAGACCTCTTTGCCTTTCTGGGGTCTGCTACACTACTGGGCCCTGTCCATAGACTTCGAACCTCTCTTTGAAACCACATAAGGACATCAGAAGAGCCTTGCTGGATCAGACCAGTGAGGGTCCATCTAGTCCAGCATCCTGTTTCACACAGGGGCCAACTAGTTCCTCTGGATGGCTGACAACAGGGTATAGAGGCTGAGGCCTTCCCCTGATGTTGCCCCCTGGCTATGGGATTCAGAGTATTAGTGCCTCTGAATGTTGAGTTTCCTCTGTCACCATGGCTAGTCGCCATTGATAGACTTATCTTCCATGAATCTATCTAATCCACTTTTAAAGCGGTTTATTCCTGTGGCCACTACATCTTCTGGCAGCGAATCCCACATTTTAATCACAAGGACTAGAATCTTAGGGAAGAGGAAAAAAGAGGTGACTTACGAGCGACAAGATATGCCAGTATTGGGATAATATTGACAGGCAGGAATTTGCAAAAGCTCAACAGAACTTCAGACAGAAAAAAAAAATATGAAAATAAAGATTGTTGGTTTCTTAGCCAACACCAACTGCTAGATTGGGGCAGACAGCACACACATCCAACTGTCTGCAAAGTAAGCGTTCCTTAAATAGAAAGGCAGAATATAAACTTTCTAAATAAAAATCAAAAAGCAAAACAAGTAATCTCTAAACTGCCTTTCCTGGCATTTTCTTTATTTCACTTGTACACTGCCCAAGAGAGCCAGTGTGGAATAGTGGTTAGAATGTCAAACTGGGATCTGGGAGACCCAGGTTCGAATCCTGACTCTGCCATGGGAGTCCCCTGGGTGACCTTGAGCCAATCACAGTCTCACAGCCTAACCTACTTCACAGGGTTGTTGTGAGGACCAAATGGAGGCGGGGAGAATGACGCAAACCGCTTGTGGTGCCCGTTGCAGAGAAAAGCAGAGTATAAATATCTACCCATATAAGTAAACTACTGCTTCGGTGAGCTGAATCAGAATGAGGAAGGTATTCGGTTGAACGGGTTAAAAGACCCCCCCCCCGAATCCCAAGCTGCAGGGATTTATATGGTAAGGGGGGGGGACTGAGAAATCTCAAAGGAGGCGGGCACCCACCGGCATCTGCAGCGGTGTGGACTGCACAGCTGTTGTGGTGGCCAGTGTTGTGATGCCCGAAGTCTTGACCCCGGAGACCGCCGTCAGAAGCAGAGAGTCGGCTTTGATGAAGTGGGGCTGCAGTAGAACCTGCGGGGGGGGAGGGAAGAGGGTGTTCAAGGGTCCCACTTCAGCCTGTTGAGTCTCACCTGCAAGTGAGTGGATCCTACCCTACAGCTACTGCTCACCGGCACTTGTTGGATCTGAGACGAGATGACCTGGGGAGTGCTGGGCGCCAGAAACTGCTGAGGCATGATGCTCTGGACCGGAGCCTGCTGCACCGCTGGCGGGGGCTGCTGGGATGTGACCGGGGGGCTCGAGAGGGGCGGAGGAGGCCCTGCTGGCTGAGGAGCTGCAAGAGAGAGAATATTCGCCCATTCAGAAAGCAAAAGAGAGAACATTCGTCCATTCAGAATGCGAAACAAAGAATATTCGCCCATTCGATAACGTGAAAGAATATGCGCCCGTTCAAGACACAGAAGAATACTCACATATTCAATACGCAAGATCCACACTTGTTCTTAGCCTTGGGTTCCAGCTTGGGCTCCTGATGCATCCCCTGCCCACCCCCCACCCCCATCATGGCAATCACAGAAAACCCTCACATTCTTCGCAAAATGCAGGAAGGTTGATGCACAGTTCAAAATTCGCCATCCTGCTCAGCCACAAAGCAATTCTGAAACCGGGCAGAAGCAAAGCCTATCTACTGAGAGCCAGTTCGGTGTAGTGGTTAAGTGCGCGGACTCCAATCTGTGAGTACTGGGTTTGATTCCCCACTCCTCCACTTGCACCTGCTGGATGACCTTGGGCAAGCCATAGTTCTGGGCACAGCTGTCCTTGAAAAAGAGCAGTTTCTGTCAGAGCTCTCTCAGCCCCGCCTACCTCACAGGGTGTCTGTCGTGGGGAGGGGAAGGGGAAGGAGTTTGTAAGCCGCTCTGAGACTCAGTTGGGTAGTGAAGGGCGGGGGATAAATCCAATCTCTTCTTCTTCTTCTACTTGCAAACCTGCATGAAGCTGTCTTATAGACCGATTCAGGGGGGTAGCCATGTTGGACAGAAGCAACAGAACAAAGTTCAACTCCAGTGGCAAGACCAGCAAAGTTTTATTCACAATATAAACTTTCGTGTGCACGCACACCGTACGAGAAAGCGTATACCTTGAATCAAACTTTGTTGGTCTTAAAGGTGCCACTGGACTCAAACTTTGTCCAGCAGTCTTATAGAATCAGACTCTTGGTCTTTCAAGGTCACCCTTGAATCCTCTGACTGGCAGCAGCTTTCTGGGGTCTCAGGCAGTGAACTTTCTTATCACGCAATTTGGGGGACTGACCCTGGGACCTTCCGCATGCCAAGCAGATGCTCTGCCACTGAGCCACGCCCCCAGCCTGTTTTTTGCATATCAGAAACCAGATCTGCCTTTGTTTACAATCACCATTCTATTTTTCTGCACTCCCCCAAAAGTAGGAGATACGCAGAAATGCGGTTTAAAGTGGCAGACGGGAGGGGCTGTGGCTCACTGGCAGAGCATCCGCTTAGCACAGAGAAGGTCCCAAGTTCAATCCCAAGTATCTCCCGTTAAAAGGATCAGGTAGGAAGTGATGGGAAAGACCTCAGCCTGAGACCCTGGAGGGTCGTCAAGAGGGGCCGTGGCTCAGTGGAAGAGCCTCTGCTTGGCGTGCAGAAGGTCCCAGGTTCAATCCCTGGCATCTCCAGTTAAACAGGACCAGGCAGGAGGTGATGGGAAAGACCCCGCCTGAGACTCTGGAGAGCTGTAAAGAGGGGCTGTGGCTCAGTGGTGGAGCCTCTGCTTGGCATGCAGAAGGTCCCAGGTTCAGTCCCCGGAATCTCCAGTTAAAAGGATCAGGTAGGAAGTGATGGGAAAGACCTCAGCCTGAGACCCTGGAGGGTATCGTCAAGAGAAGCTGTGGCTCAGTGGAAGAGCCTCTGCTTGGCGTGCAGAAGGTCCCAGGTTCAATCCCCAGCATCTCCAGTTAAAAAATACCAGGCAGGAGGTGATGGAAAAGACCTCCGCCTGAGACCCTGGAGAGCTGTCAAGAGGGGCTGTGGCTCAGTGGAAGAGCCTCTGCTTGGCACGCAGAAGGTCCCAGGTTCAGTCCCCGGCATCTCCAGTTAAAAAATACCAGGCAGGAGGTGATGGAAAAGACCTCCACCTGAGACCCTGGAGAGCTGTCAAGAGGGGCTGTGGCTCAGTGGAAGAGCCTCTGCTTGGCGTGCAGAAGGTCCCAGGTTCAATCCCCAGCATCTCCAGTTAAAAAATACCAGGCAGGAGGTGATGGGAAAGACCTCCGCCTGAGACCCTGGAGAGCTGCTGCCAGTCTGAGTAGACAATACTGACTTTGATGGACCCAAGGTCTGGTTCAGTAAAAGGCAGCTTCATGTGGTCAAAACAGCTGTAGGATTTAAACAGCATTACTTCCAGGTCCATAGCTATGATGGGCTTTTGGGGTGCTCCGCCCCCTTTCTTAAAAGCACAGCCCCACAAGAATTTCTCCTGGAAATGCTTTTTTCCGATCATCTTTAAACATTTTTAAAGGCAGGCGCTTCTTTAAGTAGAGTGGGGTGCTGTAGTTGACTGATTCCCGCACTGAGCAGGGGGGTTGGAGTAGGTGACCTCTAGGATCCCTTCTAAGTCTGTGTCAAGAAACTGGTCTCCTTTCAGTGAGTTTTTCTGCCCAAGTGTGAGCTTTCTTGACTAGAGGAGTCATTCCCCGCCACCTGCCGGCTTGTTCTCAGACTTGTTGCCTAGGTTGGCAGAAGTGATTAACTTGCGGCAGCTGAGAACTGTCGTCTCAAGTGGTTGACAGCTTGCAATTTAGAGATCTATCCTGGTCACAGCTTTCCATGGGCTAAATGGTTAAGAACACCTATGTAGGACAGAGAGCTTGAGAAGACTCAGAGAGAGAAGAGATTGCCTCAAAGCTCTCTTCTACCCTGGCCAAACCCAGATAAGTATTCCCAGTGCCACGCCTACCATCTACCAGAAAATTTATCCCCCCCCCCCTTTCTCAGCCTGCTGTTGTCACACACTGGGGCTAAGATCTGCAGAAGCATCTACACTTGCTTTATTTATTTATTTATTGGATTTATATCCCGCCCTCCCCGCAAGCGGACTCAGGGCAGCTCACAATCATCAGCACCACGTGCCAAGATAAAACAGTTAAAAACAAGATAAAACAGTTATACAATTAACTTAGATGCAGTTGATACCAAAAAGTGCTCGTAGTGATATTCATTCTTCATTCAGTTAGCGATGGCATGCAAACAGAAGTCATACTAGGGCCCCTGTCGTAACGATATTTCGGCCTCCCGCAATGCTGTATCTCAGTCTCCTGAAGGGCCAACCTACCACCACGCAGTTGGTGACATCAGTGGTGGGCGGTGTTGGGGATGGGCGGTGGGCGGCTCCTAGTTGAAGGTCTGGCGGAAGAGCTCCGTCTTGCAGGCCCTGTGGAAGTGTCCTAGGTCCCGCAGGGCCCTGATCTCCTCCAGGAGCTCATTCCAGCAGGTAGGAGCCGCAAAAAGCCCTGGCCCTAGTAGCAGCTAGCCTGGCATCTCTAGGGCCTGGGATAGTTAGACGGTTTTTTGACCCCAATCGAAGTGCTCTCTGTGGTCTGTATGGGGAAAGGCAGTCCCTCAGGTACGTAAAGGTAAGTACCAGCACCTTGAAGTGAATGATTTTTAAAAGCTTGATTTCCACAGTAGCTGAGTCATAATCCTCAGAATTTTGGCTTTTCTGTCTGCACTTTCAGCCCCACCAGAAAAAAAATTGCCCCGCAATCCAAAAAATCCTAATGACCCGATTACTTCCCCTCTTTCCTGTACTTTCTCTCTGCAACCCTGGCAACAAACCTGCCCTGGTTAAAGGGCTGTCCGAGATAGGCACCACCCCAGATAGGGCTCCCAAGTCCTACCGGGACCCCACCCCGGCGTGCACGTCAGCCGGATGTGACGTGATGATGCCGGGCATGCTGGGGGCGGGGCCACAGCCATCTGAGGGGAAAACTATGTTTTCCCCTCAGATAGCTGTGGCCCCGCCTCCAGCATGCCCGGCGTCAGCACGTCACATCCGGCTGACGTGCATGCTTTGCGCCGCCAAGAAAAACGCACTTGGCAACCCTAACCCCAGATGTGAGTGGTATATACCAACTGGGAAAATGTGCCACAAACTCAGGGTATCTCTTCAGAGGGTAGCCGTGCTGGATTCAAGTCCAGGACCACCGTACAGACCAACAAGATTTTCGGGGTATGAACTTCTGAAAGTCAAAGAAGGAGAAGAGTAGGTTTTCAGACCCTGCTTTTCTCTCCCCTGAGGAGTCTCAAAGCGGCTTACAATCACCTTCCCTTCCTCTCCCCACAACAGGCACCTTTTGAGGTCGGCGGGGCTGAGAGAGCTCTGACAGAAACTGCTCTTGAGAGAACAGCTCTGAGAGAGCTTGTGACTGACCCAAAGTCACACCAGCAGCAGCATGTGGAGGAGTAGGGAATCAAATCCGGTTCTCTCAAACTAGAGTCCATGCTCTTAACCACTACACCAAGAAGAAGAGGAGGAGGAGGAGGAGAAGGAGGATGTACACCCCACCCTTCACTCGGAGTCTCAGAGCTGTTTACAGTCTCCTTCTCCTCCTCTCCCCACAACAGACACCCTGTGAGGTAGGTGGGGCTGAGAGAGCTCTGAGAGAACTGCTCTCGAGAGAACGGCTCTGAGAGAGCTTGTGACTGACCCAAAGTCACACCAGCAGATCTCCATTCCGACTTGTATCTGACGAAGCGAGCTTTGATTCTCAAAACCTCATACCTCGAAAATCTTGCTCACCTTTAAGGTGCTACTGGACTTGAATCTAGGGTGTCATTTGAGTAGATAGCAGGTGCTCAGTAAGACCGGCCCAAGTCTTGGAACGTTTGAGAATAAATTAAGAACAGACGCCTGTAAGCAAATCAATTTATACAGAGGATCCCCCATACTCTTCCTGTGCATCAAAGATGAAGTACCAAGCTACATTATTGGTGGGGTCGTGAGAAAATTAAACTTTTCTGCGGGGAAAATACTGCTTCAAATTGAGCGTATAACAGGATACATTGTACCTAATCGCCCGGGAATTCTTTCACTAAGCTTTTGGGAAGACTCCAATATCCCTAATATACGGAAAGACTTGTTTTTTATTTTTCTGGCACCTGCAAAAATCTTTACTGGCTTCCAAATGGAAGGACAAAGACCTCCCCACAATTCATAACTGGTACAGAAAGATTTGGGACTTCTTTATTAACCAGAAAATTTCTGATCATATAAGAAGCTCGGAGAACATTTTGGATTACGTTCTGCCTAATAACAACTGAGATTGTGTTACTCCATCTTGTTACAACTTTATAGCGCTGCTTTGAAATAACCTTGTCATACCATTTGTAATAGGTTCTGCACGTAGACATAGGCTTTGTAATTCTTCTGTTTTTTCACCATGTATTTCACTTCTCTCATTGTTATATTGCTGTTATTTTTGTTCCTTTACTTTTAATGTTGATTAGTATTATTGTTGGGCCGCGGTGGCTCAGAGGTTAAGACACTGAGCTGCAGACCGGAAGGTCTGTAGCTCGGCAGTTCGAGACCCGAGTGCCGTGTGATGGAGTGAGCCCCCATCTCTGGTCCCCGCTCCTGCCAACCTAGCAATTCGAAAGCAAGAAATTGCAAGTAGATAAATAGGTGCTGCTTCGGTGGGAAGGTAACAGCATTCTGTGCACCTTGGTGTTTAGTCGTGCCCAGGGGTCATTTTGTAGAAAAAGAGGTGCAGGAGCTCATTAGCATAACTTATTAGCATAACTTATTTGCATATGCCACACCCCCTGACATCACCGGAAGTGTGTCAGAAGGCAACACCCACTGCTCAGGCTCCACTGGACTGTGTTGGATTGCTAGCTATGGAGGGGGGAATGTGCAGATCTGCCCTCACAGAGGAGGGAGAGCTCGTACCTGAATAAAACTTGATCTTAAAGGTGCCACTGGACTGTTTTGGAATCCTAGGTATGGGGGGGACGCGCAGATCTGCCCTCACAGAGGAGGGAGAGCTTGTACCTGAAAGCAAACCGGGGGGGGGGGCTCTGCAAATTACCTGGTTGCTTCTTGCTCCTCATAGCCCCACTGAGGGTTGCTGGGAGCAGGGGGTGGGGCATGTTGCATGTGCCCGCCCCCTGGGCTCCTTGCTGCCGGAGCTCCGCTCCTGAGCGCTCCCGCAGGAAATGACCCCTGGTCGTGCTGGCCACATGACCACGGAAATGTCTTCAGACAGCACTGGCTCTTCGGCTTGGAAACAGAGATGACCCTAGAGTCGGATTCAACTGGCTTTCGAGCAAGGGAAAACTTTACCTTTAGTATTATCGTTCCATGTGGTTTATTGAAAATTTAAAATAAAGACTTTTTTAAAAAAAAAGGTGAGGGACAACCAGGCCGGAGGTTCTGCGTTCCAGTTTATCAGCCTGTCCTCCCACTGGATCTGTAAATGCCATTTATCATGCAATAATTTGGCAAGACTCAATGCAACGACTGATAAAATGGCATCCACTGGTTCTCTTTATCCTGCCTTTCTACCGAACAGCTCTGGGCAGTCTCCACGGTTCCCCACTTCTCATTCTGCCCTCACAACAACCTTGTGAGGTAGGTTAGGCAGAGGGGGAGAGCGATGGGCCAATGGTTGTGGTTGAATGGTGATGTGAAGCTGGGGACTTCCAACCATGGAGGCAGCATGGCGTAGCAGTTAGAGTGTCGGACTCGGATCGGACCTGCCATGGAAGCTCACTGGGTAACCTTGGGTCAGTCACAAACATTCTCAGCCTCTATCTCAAAGGGTTGTTGTGAGAATAAAATGGAGGGAAGGGTCTGGGAGAGCCAGGTTCGAATCTGTACTCTGTCACGGAAGCTCACTGGGTGACTGTGGGCTAGCCCCTCTCAGAGCAACCTAAGAACGCAAGAGAAGCCATGGTAGATTAGGCCAATGCCCATCCAGTCCAACATTCTGTGTCACCCAGTGGCCAAAACTCTGTTGCCATCAGGAGGTGGCTAGCTCTCCCCTTCACTGACAGCTTTCAAGAAAAGACTGGACGAATATTTATCAGAGATGCTTTAGGCTGGTCCTGCATTGGGCAGGGGGTTGGACTAGATGGTCTCTATGACCCCTTCCAACTCTATGATTCCATGATTCTATGAGGTCCACCAGTGGGGCCGGAACTCCAGAAGCCCTCCCACTCTTGCCCCTCAAGCACCAGGAAGACAGAGCATCTCTGCCCCTAAGAGAAGCCCTGTTGGATCAGGCCAGTGGCCCATCAAGTCCAACACTCTGTGTCACACAGTGGCCAAAACCCAGGGGCCATCAGGACGTCCACCAGCAGGGCCAGAACTCCAGAAGCCCTCCCACCTTAGCCCCCCCAGCACCAAGAATGCAGAGCATCACTACCTCAAAGGGCTGTTGTGAGGGTAAAATGGAGGACAGGAGAATGGTGTAAGCTGCATGTCTGAAGACTTTGTCTCAGAAAAGCTCGTCCAGGAATAAACGCTGCGAGTCTTTAAAGGGCTGCTGTCCTTTGGTTTTGTTTCACTTGCACCCAATGCTCCCTCTAAGCTATGGAGTCTTGTGAGCAAAAGTTCTACTTTGTGAGCTACTGGCATTAAAGTTGTGAGTGATTTGGCTGCTGCATAAATTAGTTTGCTCTGGAGCAGTGTTCCCTCTAAGCTGAGTTAGTGTGCAGCTCACAGTTTTTTAGCCTCTGGCTCACACATTTTTGTCTTCACTCAGGAAGGAGGGCTCCAGAGCGAACTAATTTATGCAGCAGCCAAATTGCTCACTCACAACTTTAATGCCAGTAGCTCACAAAGTAGGATTTTTGCTCACAATACTCCAGAGCTTAGAGGGAGCACTGCTCTGGAGCCCCATCCTTCCTGAGCTAAGGCAGAAATGTGTGAGGTGGAGGCTAAAAAACTGTGACCTATCTCACACTAACTATGGTTGGAAGGAGAGCTTGAAGTGGTCTTTAGATAGATGGAATGACTATTTATACGAATATATCCAGTCAGATATATTGGAATGTATTAAACAAGATAAGGCATGGGATGGAAAGATGAAGGAGATAAAAAAGAAATGGTCTATATACTTTCAATGGGTAAATAATGGAGAAGCCAACTCCGTTATACTTGGAAAAATGGAAAAAATGTGCTCATGGTTAAAAATTTAATTTGTAGCTATGTGATGGCCACCTTGTGGGGGGTGGCATATAAAAGGGGGGGGGAAATGTATCATAAGAGAATTGGGATTATATTGCAATGTAATAATTTATGATGCAAATAAAAAATTTTTTTAAAAAAAGCTATCTCACACTAACTCAGCTTAGAGGGAACACTGCTCTCACCATTGTACCACACTGCCTCACCACGGTTCCTACAAATCAGGTTGTAGGTTCCCCCCCCCCCTTCCCATCTACCCATCCTGACCCTCTCTCATGTCAGCCCCCAAGCTGCTCACAAGCAAACTCCTCAGACCTTCTGTTACTGCAGCCGGCCCGACCCCCGATGACACCAGGCCCCGATTCTCGGATCCTCACCAGGAATACCATTCTGGCTTGGGAAGCCCATCAGCGCCTGCGATGAGAACTGGGCCTGCGGCGCCGGAACAAAACTCTGAGTCGTCCTCCTGCCCAACGGCATCTGGGTTGGCGGCTGATTGACGGTCGCGGCCGCCGTCTCTTCCTTGACGTCCATGGGGGTCGGGTTCACGCCGGCACTGCTCGGCGGCAAGGCCTGAAAACTCGTTTGGGATGGAGCCGGAAGAGGGAAGAGATTGGAGGCGGACGGGTTGCTCGTCCCCAGGTAGCTGCCGAACAAACTGGATCCGTGCGGATTGGGATCCGGAGACGCATTCCCGCCGAACGGAGCATCAAACAGACTGGGGAAATCGCTGTCTTCCGTGTTGATCAACTGGAGCATGTCTGCGAAAACACAGAGAAAAGGAAGGTGCGCATGTGAGCTCTTGCGCATCAGGGATCTTTTTCTGTAGCTCGGGGGGGGGGGTTCCCCGACATTTTTTGAACCTGCAAGCAACTTTGGAATTCTGACACTGGGGTGATGGGCCACCTGTTCAAAATGGCTGCAGAAGGATGCGGGGCCAATACGCAGAAGAAGCCCACATCACAGGGGAGAGGAGGTGTAATTTTAAAAATACACGGGGAAAGAGGATTGCGAGAGACTAAAACAAACAGTGTGGCGGTTCCAGCTGCTGCTGAAACATTATTTTAATCACTGGTTGTTGTAGATTTTCCGGGCTGTGTGGCCGTGGTCTTGGCATTGTAGGACCTGACGTTTCGCCAGCAGCTGTGACTGGCATCCTCAGAGGTATAAGATAAATACAGACACGACCCAGTCAGAAAATAAGTATAAAGACAACAGTCGTGAGAGCCTGACCCACAAATCAAGCAGTCACCAAGACTTGCAAAGAAAAAGCTTCCTATGTATAATCTAAAGCACTACAACATCATTCATAAATGATAAGAAAATCCTTGCGCATAGGTACATAATCAACGTCGTCTCCGGATTATATAACAACGTTTCAATAATGGATCTTCCTCGGGAGATAATAGAGTAGTACAAAAGCTCTCTGTATTCATGAAGTGCTTGACAACAAGTCATAAGGAATACTACAGTCAAATAGGACGCTGATAAATGTTCAGGCTCAAATATGCTGCCAAGCTTCTAAACGGATCCCGGGCGTCTCCCTCCGTCAGAGGGATATTTCTAATCAGGCGAAAAGCTGTAATTCTGGGGGATCCGCAGGTCCCACCTGGAGGCTGGCACCCCCGTATCTGAGCCACGCCACAGCAGCAGATCCTAACTCCTACTTGCTGGGATCAGTTCCAGAACTTTCGTCATTCTACAGCCAAGTCCTTGGCCTTGGAAAAAGTGGAATCAAAGATACAGAGAAGGGAATTCAGACCAGAGGGGCACCCTTGAGGCCCAGGCACTTACTGTGTTCTGGGAATCAACCTCTTCATCTAATGCTTGAAGGGCCGGAGGCATTCTTGGTAATTTGATAGGCGCTTGGGAAAGGAACTGTGGCATCTGTTGCTGGCAGAAAATGGGTGGCTCAGCAGCAGAGCGTGTTTTGTGCACGCAGCAGGTCTGGGGTTCTATCTTTGGCAGCTCCCATTACAGGGTTTCTGGTGCCAGTTCTGGAAAAACCCTCTGCCCAAGTGCCGGGAGAGGCCCTGCTGGCTAGAGCAGAACATACGGAGCTAGGCTCCGGTGCACTGCAGCACAGCTTCCTACACATCTGCCGACGCTTCTTCCACCAAGGACTGCTCCTGTTTCGTCCCCCCGTTTCACAACCGGGCGATCACGTGGCAAATAGATGCCCGTCTGGGCTGAGACTCAAAAGCAACTTTCTGCCAGAGCCAGGGAGCGTCCCTTGGGCATCACCCCGGGGCCTAGAAACTAAGGAAAGTGGCAGACGTATCCTCACGACCCCAGCGACTGCGGGGAAACAACCGGCTTCCACCTGCCTCCAACCCGCAGCGAGACTGAAATCAGAAGTCATTTTGTAGAAAAAGAGGTGCAGGAGCTCATTAGCATAACTCATTAGCATAACTTATTTGCATATGCCACACCCCCTGACATCACCGGAAGTGTGTCAGAAGGCAACCCCCACCGCTCAGGCTCCACTGGACTGTTTTGGATTGCTAGCTATTGGGGGGGGGGGAATGTGCAGATCTGTCCTCACAGAGGAGGGAGAGCTTGTATCTGGATGCCACTGGACTTTTTTGGACCGGGGGGCTGGGGGGGGGGCTCTGCAACTTACCTGGCTGCTTCTTGCTCTGACTGAGGGCTGCTGGGAGCAGGGGGTGGGGCTTGTTGCACGTGCCCGCCCCCTGGGCTCGTTACTGCCGGAGCTCCACTCCTGTGCGCTCCTGCAGGAAATGACCCCTGACTGAAATTAAGATTCTGTTCCTGCCCTGATCGGGATAGCCCAGGCAAGCTCGGTCTTGTCAAATCTCGGAAGCTAAGCAGGGTTGACTCTGGCAAGTATTTGGATGGGAGACCTCCAAGGCATACCAGCAGTTGGGAGGCGGGGGCGGGCTTTACTCAGCCACCTCCTTGAATATCCTCCAGGCCCCCAGTAGGGGTCAGTCACCAGAGGTCAACGTTTTGTTTTGTTTTAATTTTTATTAAATGTTATTTCACTTCACAGTATTACATAAAAAGAAGAGGACTCAATGCGAAACGATACAATGCAGAATTCAAAGAATCAAAACGTGAAACATACAGTACTCAGCAGATGCCACAAATGTTACGGCAAACCTAAGAATTGCAATCATTCTTCTAACTCATTTAGTACTTAAAAATATTACCTCCCATACTCATGTTCCTCTCATGTACTCTTGTTCGGCGATATCCTAAAGTTAATCTTAATGAGGTTGACGTGACTTCCAGGTGTGCGCGCAATCACACACACACACATACCCTCATACACACATACACACACTCACACACATGCACATATCGGGGGGGAAGGAAAGGTTCTGTCTGGGACGCGCGCAGGATCGAGCCCCAGCAGAGCAGATCAAATCAAGGAAATATAAATAACGGTGCAGAAATTATCCATGTGGCAGAATTCAGCTTTATGCGCTATAGGGGAGAGACACAAGCTCAGTGAACACAACACACAGCCTTACAGTGTTGATGCAAATTTGCTTTTCTGGCAACCTTTGAGGGCCAAGAAGATGCTCGGAAAACAGGTCCCTCAATGCTCCAAAAGAATCCAGAACCTCCTGTGGAGCTCTGTCAGTATTTGCAAAACAACTAGAGACCAGACACAGAAGAAGAGAGAAGAAGAGGTTGGATTTATGCCACACCCTTCACTACCCAAAGGAGTCTCAGAGCGGCTTACAGTCTCCTTTCCCTTCCCCTCCCCACAACAGACACCCCGTGAGGTAGGTGGGGCTGAGAGAGCTCTGAGAGAAACTGCTCTTGACAGAACAGCTCTGAGAGAACTTGTAACTGACCCAAGGTCACGCCAGCAGCTGCATGTGGAGGAGTGGGGAATCAACCCCGGTCCTCCCAGATTAGAGTCCGCCACTCCTAACCACTACACCAAACCTAGGAGACCAACAAGTTTTTAAGGGTATGAGCGCTGGAGAGTCAAAGCTCCCTCCCTGGATCAGTATTTGCAGAGACGCACAGCTGGGAGCTGGATTGCAACCCAAGGATTCCAGGCTGGATTACATTTTAGGATACATTCCCTCTCGGCAGCAACTTTGAGTTCTTCCATATGGTCCCCACCAGACCCAGAACTACTTAGAACCAGTCTGGTGTAGTGGTTAGGAGCGCCGACTCTAATCTGGGAGAACCGGGTTTGATTCCCCACTCTTCCTCCACTTGCAGCTGCCGGTGTGACCTTGGGGTAGTCACAAGTTCTCTCAGAGCTGTTCTCTCCTGCGCAGTCCTCGAAAGAGCTCTCTCAGCCCCGCCTGCCTCACAGGGTGTCTGTTGTGGGGAGGGAAAGGGATTGTCAGCCGCTCGGAGACTCCTTCAGATAGTGAAGAGGAGAGAGAGAGAGGAGAGATTGGATTTATACCCCACCCTTCACTACCCGAAGGAGTCTCAGAGCAGCTTACAAATTCCTTTCCTCCCCACAACAGACACCCTGTGAGATATGTGGGGCTGAGAGAGCTCTGACAGAAACTGCTCTTTTTCAAGAACAGCTCTGATAGAACTATGGCTTGCCCAAGGTCACCCAGCCATGTGCAAGTGGAGGAGTGGGGAATCAAACCCGGTTCTCCCAGATTAGAGTCCGTGCTCCTAACCACTACACCAGACTGGCTCTACTACACCAAAGATACCACGGGTAAGTGGGGAAGGGGGTGGGAACAAACAGGAGGGACAAAGGGGGAACAAATTTGGGGTTCCTCTTTTGTGCACGTCCCCATGTGACCCCTCTCGCCTGAGCTTGACGTGTATATCCCGTGGCAACTGTATGTAAGCAAAGCTCCCACTTGACCGGACTTCTGAACAATCCTCCTGCCATCTGGTGGGTCCCTCCCATCCGTTCCCCAAAAGTCAGCACTGTCCAAACGGAATTAACACGACCGCGCGGGCGGGGGGGGGGGACAGGGAAAGTTTCCAAAGCCGTCAACAAGACGGCTCAACGGTGCCGCTTTGCAAATCGCTCCCCTTTGGATCACTTTGGAGAAGGAGAAGAAGAAGAAGAGCCGGTTTTATACCCCACCCTTCGCTACCAGAGCGGCTTACAAAGCCTTTCCCTTCCTCTCCCCACAATGTGGAGCTGTGTGCATACACCTGAAAGTTCATACCTTGAATAAACCTTTATTGGTCTTAAAGGTGCCCCTGGACTCTAAAATTTGTTCTCCCGACAACAGACATCCTGTGAGCAATGCTCCCTCTAAGCCACGGGGTCCTGTGAGCAAAAATTCTACTTTGTGAGCGACCGGCATTAAAGCTGTGAGCGAGCGATTTGGCTACTGCATCAGTTAGCTTGCTCTGGAGCCATCCCATCCTGAGCGGAGACAAAAATGTGCAAGCTGGAGGCTAAAACACTGTGAGCTAGCTCACACCAACTCAGCTTAGAGAGAACACTGCCTGCGAGGCAGCTGGGGCTGAGAGTGCTCTGAGAGAACTGTGAATGGCCCGAGGCCACCCAGCTGGCTGCATGTGGAGAAGGCGTGGGGAACCAAACCACCACTCTGAACCACTACACTACAGCTGGTTCTCATGAACCTCAGCAAGCCAAATCCTGTTCAAGTTCCTGTTCAGATCTGGTTCTTCCACAGTCCCCCCCCCCAAAAGAAGAAGAATAGGAGATTGGATTTATACCCCGCCCTTCACTACCCAAAGGTGTCTCAGAGCAGCTTAGAAACTCCTTTTCCTTCCCCTCCCCATAACAGGCACCCTGTGAGGTAGGCGGGGCTGAGAGAGCTCT